CAGTGCATCATGCATCTCATTCCTCGTCTTTGGCTCGACCGGTCCTCCCACATCATGCAGCCAACTCATACTAATTTCTCTTCTTCGCTGTTCATTTCACGTAGTAAGTCGGTAGTATTTTGTGTGAGGAGCCACGTGTCTTGTTCTACTCGACAGACCTACATACGTGCGATGGGAATGAGACAGGAAAGAAAGTTAAGTGTTTCAAGCCTGATTGTGGTCAACGTCAGTCCTTTGGAGAACCCTAAAGGGGTACGTGGGATGAAGCCCCCGCGCTAGGAGACCGAATTCGCCTTTTTGGTCCACAAACACACCTGTACACGTTTGCGATGATTGGTTTCCATAGGTCAAAACTATAAGTGCATTTTGAATTTAATTTGCACTCTAGACCTTTATTCAACCTCATTGGAAGTCAATTAGTTCTACTAGGTCAGCCGACAGGTTCCTTCCACTGTGAGATGGAGTTTCATCACAGTTGTCATAAGCAATTGTATGGCGAGTAATGGGGATTGTTGGGATATGACCGCTGACGCAGAAAGAGGACGATTGAAAACGCCAATTCTAGCTTGTTAGCTGCCACCAGTGGGGCCCGCTTAACCTCTGAACCCAAAGTGATCCATACACCGTGTTGACTATTAATGGCTGAAAAAAGTGCTGCACGCCAAAATTGGTCATCCTGATTTCTCTCGTACTTATTGAAATACTGTTCACTGTCGGAAACTTTGCATTCGATGTGATGGCCAAGGTGCATTTTCTGGCACTTAAAAATCCTTAAGTACAGTATTTTACCTTTTTTAGATATTAAATCCTCACCAACAGCGTTTTCTTTCTTTCAGATTGAAAAAGGATATCTTCAAATAACGTCCAAAACACTGTTTTTTAAAGCGAACAAAAATGACCATATTCAGGATCCCTAAAATATCTAACAGCTACCTGCCTGCTCCGTGCTAGCTTTCTTTATGTGGAACATGACCTGATGGTGTATTTCCATAGTGGCTGACTTGTTGTAGGCCGTGCCCTAAATATAAATGCTCTAATTTTAATTGGCATTGATAATGCATTAAAGGTCATGCGTTTTCTTTTTGCACTTAGCTTGGTCACTGCGTACACAATTTAAAAATCTAGAATCGAATGGTCACAAATGATTTTATCTCACCAAACTCCAGCTAAATTCTTACTTCGCGTTTCTAGGATAATGTAGGATAAAGGTTTTTCCAACGATCTCATCTTCCTTTCCTCAATGGCGACTAGGCTAGTATGCCTATTTATCCTTTTATCCCCGCTTTAATATATTCACACGTATGCTATATAACACATTGACCAAAAGAAAAAGGGACGTTCACCGGGAGAGGTTTATTATAAGCCTGACGTTTTTGGTAGGTGTCTTGTCTACCTATCCTCAAACAGTAACTGAGTCATGATTGGTT